GGAAGAGAATGGCAACTAGTAAATTAAGAAAGATATATTGTAGGATCACCGCTGACTATGAATTTTCATTTTATCTTCTACCCTTGAGGGTTGAGCCAACCTAACCCCCACAGTGAAAGAACGCCCCAAGAAAGAAAGAATGCCCACAAATGCGGAACTCTAGCCATCCATGCAGCTGTGGTAATCGGCCTTGGTTGGGGCATGGATACCCAAGTGAGTAAAACCGCCTCAGACAAGTCACTGCTTCTCTAGCCTAAGGTAGAGGTAGAAAGACGGTTTTAAGGAACCCATGGAAGGCAGTTCAGTGGCTCATGTTCCTTTGTTCTCTATTCTATTTCTCCAATCTTACAAGAACAGGTATATGCAACACAGTCATTCTTTAGTCCATTTATTATATTAATTTGGTAGTAATGCCCTATAAAATAAGTAAATCTTTAATGACTGACTCCTTAGGAATTTGTTCCTAATGCCTTTAAATATTTAAATTACCATGACGAGAGTTTTCCATTTCTAATTATTATCTTCTCACAGTAGTCAGATCTGGATAGTAATTCTATGAACTTTTAAGAGTACACCATCTTCCAATAATCAGAGTTCTTAAAAAGAACTCATTTATTGTTAGAGTGACTACAAAAGACTCTAGAAAGCTGTCTCTTGTATTTTTCATCTTGTGACCCTAAATATGAGCTATATTTTTGTTAATAATTTGAGAAGTTAGAATTGTTTATGGCATATTTGCTACGTTTAGTAAGAATTGTGGCTCGAGGGGAGTGAGCACGAGCTTTGCCGTGTGGAGAATCAATTCCTTAGGGCGTATTTCAGAGCAAGGGATTGTTAGATCAGCGTGCTGACCCCGAGCTGTCTCTGAAGCCGCGTGGTCCGCGGGACAGGCCCGCTGGCCGTAGCGGCCTGTCCCTAGTGCGCGGCCCGCGTGGCTGGCTGCTCCCCGGCTTCCAGATGTCGCCTATTGCAGGCAAGGCTGTGGGGACCTGTGTGTACATGTAGCTTCAGACAGCACTGTCGGGGCGAGATGGAGGGGCTGCATGAGATCTTCCTTCCTAGGAGGTGTCTACCTTTCTTCTTCAGAATTGCTTCTGGCGTTCCCAAACGCCCCTTCTCCTGTGCCTTTACTTTCTCCCAGTCCTCCTCCGGGTCGCGGGCTGGGGCTGGAGAGCCGGGAGCGGGCTGGGGAGAACGTGGGCTCTGGGGCAAGGCGCCCTGGGCCCCACCCGCCCCCAGTGGTGCAACCTTAGGAAAATTCCTCTGCATTCTGAGTCTTGGTTTCCTAATCTACAAAAAAGGGTTTGGATCTTGGTTCCTAACATCTACTCACTTGAGCTGGTAATTGATGGCCTCAGTTTCCTCAGCTGTAAAAGGGGGCTAACCGTGGAACCCACCTCAGGGTTTTGTTGTGAGGGTCAAGCAGCGAAGCCACATAAAGTCCTTAGCACGGTGCTCAGCACGTGCTGCTGGAGATGCAACAGCAGCGTGGGTGCTGGCCGGCTCAGTCCTGGCCCGGTCAGTCCAGCGCAGCGATGGATGGAGCCCACCCCAGACCTCAGGCAGTGCGTGCAGCATGGCAGCTTCTCCCACGGCCCTGAAATCACTCCAAGTAGGAGCAGGTACAACTCACGAGGAAGAAAATGGCTGGTGCTGCCTACCAGCTATTTCTGCCTCTTCCTGCTTGCCAGCGTGTGCACAGCTTTCTCGGCGCAGGCGGCGCTTCTGCCACCTAAATCCTCTGGGATTCGATGGGCTGGGTTTTCTCCCTGCATCACACTTGCACAGGACTACTGTCACATACTGAGAAACTGCGGGTGGTGCCCAGAGCCACACTCGTCCCCACCTGCCTTCAGGGAACTAAAACAGGAGTCCGTCCTGGCCTCCGCCTGCCCGATTTCTGGATGGGGGGATCTCCGGCAGGAAGCTGCACCTGCAAAAGGTGTCACCCTCACCTCCTCAACTCACATTCTCAAAACCTCTTCCTCCTCCCTCCTGAGGCCTCGCATTCACCTAATTATTCCTGCGGCCAGGAAAGCCACCCTCTCTGCACTTGGCCTCCCCTGGCAGCAGCCTCCTGCCAAAGGGAAGGGCACTGAAAGTTGGCGTGCTTGGAAACCCACGTTCCCCACAGTGTGTGTGTGTCTGGGGGTGTCACGTGAGGGTGGCGCTCAGAGGATGCAGTGTCTAAAACATCTGCCCGGCATCCAACCCTGTGGTGCTGTCCAGACCTTCCTCCCTCCCTCCTCCTACCCTCCTTTGTCTCTTCCCTCCTTCCTTTCCTCCTCCTCACAATTTGACAAATTTCCTGTTTCTCTCCCCCTGTGACACGATTATGATGATCAAGACAGTAAATACCCCATCGTCCCCAGAGTCCCTCATGCCTTTTTATGATCCCTCCTACCTTCCTTCACCCCCATTCCCGGGCAATCCCTGATCTGCTTTCTGTCATCATAGATTAAGCCACATTTTTTGGACTTTTTGATAAATAGAAACTTACAGTGTGAACTCTTTCATTCTGCAATTAGTCTAAGATTCATTCATGTTACTGCATGTATACATAGTTCATTCCTTTTTTCATTCCATGCCATTGTAGGAATATACCATAACTCATTTATCCACTCACCTGTTGTTTCCAGATTTGGGCCATTATGAATAAAGCTGGTGTGAACACTCATTAAAAAAAAAAAAAAGAATTGTGGTCCAAGGGCTAGTGTATGGAATCTATCTTGATTATGTGGGTAATGAATCAGTTATAATTATTGTCTGTTTGCTGAATGAATTTTAACAAAATGTGCAGGAGATTGGTGATCTTTTTTCTCTTTCAGCTGGACTGTGGGATCCACCCTGGCTAGAAGGAATGGATGCACTTCCTTATATTGATTTAATTGACCCAGCTGAGATTGATCTCCTATTAATTAGTCAGTAAGTTTTGTCTTTTAATAATAATACTGTTTTTCAAGGAGTTTTACTGTCAAGATCATTCTTGACCAGATTTTGAGATTTGGGTTTTTTAAAAGTATAGTATTTCCTACGAGGAGGCATATTTCAGACATCTATATCCAAGCCATCACTCCATAGTGTCATCATAGGTTAGAGAAGTTTTACTATGAAAACTTACTACCTCTAGGTGTAAGCAGTGAATAAGTGGGAAGGAGATACCTTAAATTGTAAAAACATGAGAACAAGAAGCTTTTCCAGGATATCTCTCTTTTTTTTTTTTTGAGATAGAGTCTCACTTTGTTGCCTGGGCTAGATGCCATGGCGTCAGCCTAGCTCACAGCAACCTCAAACTCCTGGGCTCAAGCGGTCCTCTGCCCAGCCTCCAAGTAGCTGGATACAGCATGTCCACCTGCCTGGCTAATTTTTTCTATATATTTTTAGTTGGCCAATTAATTTCTTCTATTTTTCTTTTTTGAGACAGAGTCTCGCTTTGTTGCCCAGGCTAGAGTGAGTGCCATGGCGTCAGCCTAGCTCCACAGCAACCTCAAACTCCTGGGCAACTCCTGGGCTAAGTGTCATGGTGTCAGCCTAGCTCACAGCAACCTCAAACTCCTGGGCTCAAGCAATCCTGCTGCCTCAGCCTCCCGAGTAGCTGGGACTACAGGCATGCTCCACCATGCCCGGTTAATTTTTTCTATATATACATTAGTTGTCCAATTAATTTCTTTCTATTTATAGTAGAGATGGGGCCTCGCCCTTGCTCAGGCTGGTTTTGAACTCCTGACTTTGAGCAATCTGCCTGCCTTGGCCTCCCAGAGTGCTAGGATTACAGGCATGAGCCACCGCAACCGGCCAATTTCTTTCTATTTTTAGTAGAGACTGAGTCTCACTCTTGCTCAGGCTGGTTCGAACTCCTGACCTTAAATGATCCTCCTCTCTCGGCCTTCCAGAGTAGGATATCTCCTTGATATCATTATTTTATCACTTCTTCTAAAAGTACTTCATTTAAAAATAGTGACTTGCTTCAACTTTATTTCACTGAAATGTTTATGTAATTCTAGCTGCCAAGAGTATTTTGGGCATATTCTTCCCTCTCTAATTACTCATTAATAAAATTTTTTACTGTTTTAAAAAAAAATTTTAATCTTTTTCCTATACTAGAACTGTATGCATTATTTCTTCCCTTGGCATATACATACTTTTGGTTTTCTAAGAGTATCAGTATATAATTGTTACAGAATTTTTAAGAATTAATACAATCTCTTTCTTTCTTTTTAAGTTTCCATTTGGATCACTGTGGAGCTTTGCCCTGGTTTCTGCAGAAGACCAGTTTCAAAGGAAGAACATTTATGACTCATGCCACAAAAGCTATTTATAGATGGCTTCTTTCAGATTATGTCAAAGTTAGGTAAATTACTTTATTAAATTATACATGCATTTGGCTCTGCACAATACACAGGGTTCAAGATACAGACATTTTGTTTTTGTTTTTTAATTTTAGAATCCTGTTCGTTAAATTGAACATTTTGTTTTAAAATAAAGGGCTCTCTTTTTGTTCACAAGGATGTCAGTTATTTAGTCATTCATTAACAAAGTCATTAAATACCTATTTTGTATCTAGCACCTTCCTGACCTTGAAGTCTTTTTTTTTTTTTTTTTTTTTTGAGACAGAGTCTCACTCTGTGTTGCCCAGGCTAGAGTGAGTGCCGTGACGTTAGCCTAGCTCACAGCAACCTCAAACTCCTGGGCTCAAGCGATCCTTCTGTCTCAGCCTCCCGAGTAGCTGGGACTACAGGCATGCGCCACCATGTCTGGCTAATTTTTTGTATATATATTTTTAGTTGGCCAATTAATTTATTTCTATTTTTAGTAGAGAGGGGGTCTTGCTCAGGCTGGTTTCAAACTCCTGACCTTGAGCGATCCACTTCCCAGAATGCTTAGATTATAGTCTTGAGCCACCACACCCGGCCTCTGACCTTGAAGTCTTTATATAGTTTTTATGTCCTTCTCAATCTTTGTTCCATTTATGCGAGCTTTAAAATGTGATAGAAATACTCTTAACTAGCATTTCACAATTTTTTAAAAATTTAAAACCAAATACATTATGTATTATGCCAAATTCTTATTTTGTATTATTTGATCAGAGAAAATTGATTGTCTTAAATGAAAAAGTTCCCTGGGGGAGTTCTTACCAGTTCTAAGAGGAACATCTACTCCTCTAACAAAAAGTTTAGAGCCTTTTTGTGATACCTACAACAAAAATATTAACTTTAAAAAGTTGACTACTTAATATGTGTATTCTGAGAATAGCTAAAATACTATTTTGTTCTTGACATGTAAATACAAAGAATTAGAAAAGTTATACTTACTAATATTAACACTAGTTAACACTTACATAATGCTTATCACACACCAGGCACAGTCCTCAGTTCTTAATATATGTTAACGCATTTAATCTAAACACCTACTCATGATATAGGTTCTATTATAAATTCCATTTTACAGATGATGAAACTGAGGCACAGAAAGGTTAGGCTATTTGCCTAAAATGGTCATAGTAAGAGACAGAACTAGGATTTGAATGCAAATAGTATGCTCCTGAGTCTATATCCCTAACCACTATTCTCTCTTGCTTTTAGGAATTACATTTACATAATTTTCAGGAGAAAAGTTATGCTAGACTTTGTATAAATATCTTTTCACATCCCAGTGTGAGAAATCTCCAACACAATTCAATGTGTATAAATGTGTTATATCTCTTAGGAGTGTTGGGGCAGAAAAAAAGGTTGAGAAATACTATATTTTGTCCTAATTTACTGTGTCTATTACTTAAAATTGAGAGTACTCTGAACTTAGTATCTTAATTTACTGTGTGCTTTGCTTAAAATCAAGTTTTGTAGCTATTCACTCAAAATAAAAAAATACACAAAATGTCTGAGTGATTCTAAATAGCATAATTCATACAGTATATTTTTAAGAAATATCTTCATGGATGTCATCCACAGACAATTTGTGTTCAAAGACTTAAATCTTATTCTTAATTCTTTTTGGTGTCATCTTTCAAAATTTAGTAACATATCAGCGGACGACATGCTGTATACTGAGACAGATTTGGAGGAAAGCATGGACAAGATTGAAACTATCAACTTTCATGAAGTTAAGGAAGTTGCAGGAATCAAGTTTTGGTGTTACCATGCAGGCCATGTCCTGGGAGCCGCCATGTTTATGATTGAGATTGCGGGTGTGAAGGTACCCTCTGGCTTTGGCACTTTTCTCCCCTAGAGAAATCAGTGCAGAGCTTTGTGCCATCAAGGAGTATTAAAAAAAAATTCCTAAGACTTGCAAAGTGTCAAAACACTGAAACATAAGATAAAAATAAAATTGATACTTTTTCCTTTTAAATATCATAATTCCTACCTCTATTATACTTTCTATATCAAGACAGAGATTAGAATAAAACAAGCATCTCAAAGAGTAGGTTCCCTGACACCCTATAGGATTAATTCCTTTTCAGTGTCCTTTAGAAAACTGATTAGGAAAGAGCTGTCTTTGTGGCTGCATCCATTTAAAATTAAAGCACAATTTAGTATTCATGTCCTCTTGATGGCTTAATATTCACAGATAAGCCCTTGAGCAGAGTGGGCTTCGAGAGTGAGGGAGATTAATTAGGAAAGATCTTTGTAGCCATCCTTGATAGAAAAGTGGAATGGGAGTCTGGAACTTCTAAACATGTGGGTGGATTAATAAGTTTCTCAACTCTAGCGCAGCAGTTCTGAACTCTAGCTGCACATTTGAATCACTTAGGGAGCTTTTAAAAAAATACCTATTGAATCAGTCTGGAGGTGTAGCTTGGCCTTTTTCTTTTTGAGTTTTCTAGGTGATTCTAGCTTGCAGCTAGAGTTGAGAACCAATACTCTAGTGTAATATTGTCCTAAATATTTTGCAGCTGCTCATACATTTGAAGCTTTTATACATGGAATTGTATAGTTTATCACTAAACTACAATTCTTGCAATTTGCTCCAAGGCAAAAAATAAGCAGGAAGTAGTATAAATGCAGATCTGAATTTTCATTTGGAATTTGATGCATACTCTCTTGTGATTTTATCTCCCATTTAGTCAGCGCTCCCATGTACCTCAGTAAATGCCTTTCCTTATTAGCATGCACTTTTTCTCTAAGAAGTTCAGAGCGCTTTTCAAATTTCTTAGTAATACAAAGGTCATTTTTATGGGATGATTCTGGGAATATTTTCCCATTAATTAGATTAAATAATGGAGACACTGGATGGTTTAGTGACTTAACTAAGTTATACATTTTGAATTAGATACAAGCATTACATCTAAATCAGTTTAAGGCGATTTTTTTAAAATTGTACTTTTAGATTTTATGAGCTTAATCTGTTCATTAGCAAAGTGAAGCCTTCCCCCAGTCCTGACATTCTCGTTTTATCTTTTTCATAGCTTTTGTACACAGGTGATTTCTCAAGACAAGAAGATAGGCACTTAATGGCAGCAGAAATTCCTAATATTTGAAAAACCTGGACAGTCTTTCATTGTAAGTATTAGTGTATGTTATTGGTAATTAATGTAATGTGAGCAGAATTTGTTTTCTAGCAACAAATGTATTTTGATCGTACTTCATAATATTGTTATTGGGGGATATAAATTTATCTGGTTTTTTTAGGTTGTTTTTTTGGAGACAAGGGGATTCTCACCTCTGTTGGCCCACACTTGGTCCAGTGCAGGTGGCATGATCCATAAGCCCTCCAACTGTAACTGCCAAACTCCTGGGGGGCTTCAAAGGCAATCCTTCAACCGCGTCCAGCCCCTCCCCAAAGTAGCTGGGGACTATAGGGCGGGTTGCCACCAGCACCTAAGGCTAATTTTTTAAAAATTTTTGTAAGGAAGGGATTGAGTCTGCGTCCTCACTATGTTGCCCCAGGGCTAGTGCTGGGAACTCCTGGGGCTCAAAGAGAGGATCGTTCCACCTCAGTTTTCCCAAAGTGCTGAGATGTACAGGCATTGAGGCCCTGGGGTTGGCCTAGGGCCGAGATTGTATTGTTTTTAAATCCTCAGAAAAACAAGTCCATCTATTTTTGCATGGGTAACATACTTTTAGGGGCATGCTTTCTTATCAACTTTTAATTTGTACTCTTATGAAAAGTCAGCTAATGGATGATGTAAAGGTCCAAATTCCGATTCAATAAGGCCCTAGGGGGCTGGGGGCTTGCGATTCTGCACTTCTAATGAGGCTCCCGGGATATGGCTATGTGTGCCGGGTCAGTGGACCCATACATAAGTTAAGGTTTTAAGGGATATTCCTAAACAGGGAAGGGTATAAGAAACAAGATTTTGTGATTGTTTAAAAAGCTGAGTTATCGGCCGGTGTGGGTGGGCTCAGCGCCTATAATCCTTACTCTCTGGAGCGAGCGGCGCGGGAGTTGCTCAAGGTCCCAGGGAAGGGTTCTAACGCAGCCTGAGCAAAGGGGTGAGTGGACGCCCCATCTTTCTTACTATAGAAATAGAAAAATTAAATTGGGCCAAATAACTATATATAGAAAAAGATTTAAACCGGGGGCATGGTGCGCGCATGCTGTGTCCCAGCTACTTGGGAGGCTGAGGCAGAAGATCGGCTTGAGCCCAGGAGTTTGGAGGTGTGCTGTGAGGTAGGCTGACGCCCACGGCCACTCACTCTAGCCTGGAGCCCCTCACTCTAGTCTCACAAAGCGGAGACTCTCGTGCTCAAAAAAAAAAAAAAAACTGACTTATCAGAGGTGGGGGAAATATCCTTCCCCTCATCCAGTGTGGAAAGCAAAATGGTTAAAAAAATGGGACCATAGGAGAAAGGGATAGCATTTTTTGGTCTGGTTCGTTGTTCCATTTCTAAAAAAGGTTCTTATTACTGTAAGATCCAAATTCTAGGCACTTGTGGCTGCTTCTTTCGTAAATTAATGTAACAGTTATGTGTTCAATGTCATGTTAATGGAGAATCCCATTACTTTGCCTCCAGGATGTTCATTGTGTTAAACTTTTAGATCTTTGAGATTATCGGTCTTAGTTCACCACCTTCTTGACGGATGTTATTAGGAATGTCTTTACTGTAACGGGGGGACCCACATCCATGAGAAACGTGAAGAGCGAGAAGCGAGATTCTGTAACACTGTCCACGATATTGTAAATAGAGGGGGCAGAGGTCTTATTCCTGTCTTTGCTCTTGGAAGGGCACAGGAGCTGCTCTTGATTCTAGGTATGCTATTTCCTTTTATCATTTTATCAAGATAATAGCATGGCCTTGGGTAAGTCATTCCCCTTTCTGGGCTTCAGTTTCTTCATTTAAAAATAGGGATTTGGTGCTAGTAAGAGCCCAGGTAAGCAGCAACTCTCATACACTGCTGCTGGTTGTATAAGTTGGTGTACTTTTCTGGTTACCTTAGCATCATCATTTTAGTATTTTTAAAGAAATATGTCAGTATATATCATGTTGTAGGAAAAAATCATATTACAAATGAGTAATTACATACTTTAACATAATCTGTTAACAGGACCAAAAAGGTAGGGTTCAAAATTTTATATACTCTGATTCTAGTTAGTAAAAAATATACACACAAATGATTGGAAAGATTAAATCTGCATATTGGGAAAGTGGATGATTTCTTTTTTGTATTCTGTTTTTCTTCATTTTCCAAATATTTCAGTGAACCTATATAACTTTTTGTAATAAGAGGAACAAAAGGTGTCACTTTTTAGCCTCATTTGTACTTAATGATCCCTTCTAACTCAAATTTTATAGTTCTGTTTGGGGAAAGAACTCTTAAAGAGTAAACGAAGGTGCCTTTTGTGTATAGAGCCTCAATGTGCAGAACTAGAAATGACTGCCTCATAAGCTCATATTCTCAGTTCTGCAGTCTCTGTGATGATAAGGGTAAATAGAATCCCTGTTACACTGAAAAGGAAAACAAGCATGGGAAGATGGAATAAATGGCCCCAGATCAAAAGCAAATCTATGGCTGGGCGCAGTGGCTCATGCCTGTAATCCTAGCAGTCTGAGCGGCTGAGCTGAGGTGGGAAGATCACTCAAGGTCAGGAGTTCAAACCAGCCTGAGCAAGAGTGAGACCCCGTCTGTACTAAAAATAGAAAGAAATTAATTGGCCAACTAAAAATATGGAAAAAAATTAGCCAGGCATGGTGGCACATGCCTGTAGTCCCAGCTATTCCGGAGGCTAAGGCAGTAGGATTGCTTGAGCCCAGGAGTTTGAGGTTGCTGTGAGCTAGGCTGATGCCATGGCACTCTAGTCCGGGCAACAGAGAGTGAGACACTGTCTCAAAAAAATAAAAGCAAATCTATAACAGAGACATGACTTTCTGGAAGCTAAATTTTCTAAATCCTAATCCAGTCAGGTCTTTTGATTCTGGTTGGTTCTCCTTTCTAACTATAAGTCAAAAAATCAGTCCTTAGAAGTCTTGAAATAAAAAGTCTTCATAACCAATAAGATGAAGAGCAAGGGCGATTAGAAAGATGAAACAACCCACCATCAAATTAGGTTGTCAGAGTTAGCAAATAAAAATACAGGACATCAAGTTAAATTTTAAGTTCAGATAAATAATGAATAATACTTTAGTATAAGTGTTCTAAATATTTAATATATACTTTCATCTAAGAGTCTTTTGTTATCTGAAATTCAAGTTTCACTGGGCATTTGGTATTTTTATCTGGCTACCCTGTCATCAAAGCATGTATTATGAATATTTTCATGAACCAGGACTGCTCCATGTAATTAATTAGTTGCCCTTTTTACTTAAATTCTCCTTGGTAATGTAGTATAATAGAAAGAGAGCAGCCATTCAGATCACTGGTTTCAAATATTTTCTGTGTTCTAGCCATATAACCTTAGGCAAATTAATCTTTTTTTTTTACTGTTGAAAATGTACTCATAAAAATACATACAAAAAACAGGAGGTTGTGATATGATCTTGGAATATAGTCTGCTTTATACAGTATGTGAGAAATCTTGAGAGTATATGTTGAAAACTTTGACACCTTTAAAAATTTTAATTACATCTAAAAAAAACATGAACAGGATAAACCAGAGGGCAAAGCAGGAAATGTATTTGTAACATGGATGGCAGAAAAAGTCCTTGTCCTTATATAGAATTATCACTTATACGTGAAGCAGAAAAATAACATTCACACACTATTCAACCTTTTTTTAAGCCTGTTTCCCAATCAATAAGATGCGAAATCTTCATAAAGTTATTTTGAAAACTAGAAATGATAAATGTAAATTACATACTAGGCATTTAATACATATCCTAAATGCAGATGGACCTAATAGAACTAAATGATATCTTTTGGCCATACTACCTTTATAAAATTTTGAGATTTAATGAGGGTGCTCCCTTAAAATAAGCCTTCTTTTGAAGTTATATTGCCCACTACTGTCATTATCAGAAACTATTTAGTTAGTAGTTTTTAAAAAACATAATAATAGGCCAGTCCCAGTGGCTCACATCTATAATCCCAACACTTTGGGAAGCTGAGGCAGGAAGATTGTTTGAAGCCAGGAGGAGTTTGAGACCAGCCTGGGCAACATAGCAAGACCCTGCCTCTTCAAAAAAGTTAAAAATTTAGCCAGGTGTGGTGGCATGTGCCTTTAGTCCTAGCTACTTGGGAGGCTGAGCTGGGAGGATCACTGGAGCCCAAGAGATTGGGTATATAATGATCTATGATTGTGCCACTGTACTCTAGCCTGAGTGACAGAGCGACACCCTGTCTCAAAGAATATACATATAATAATAGAGTAATATGACTATACTTTTTTTAAGTGTTCAAAATTGTTTAACTCTTTGGCAGTCCTGTTTTATAATTACCAGTTGATAGATCTGTTAAAATATTAATAATACATTATGATTTAAAACCATCACAGAATTTAATGTCTCTGGGGTAGTAAGTTTTATGGTCTATTATTCAATATAACCTTATACTGAATAATTTTTAAAAGCCTTCCCATCTTTGGACTGTACTCACAGCATTTTTCTTGGATTGTACACTGGTATTTGGAAATAAGTTTTGGGTTTGTAAGTTTAAGTTAGTAAGGACCAGGCTTAAAGGTTCTTAAACTCTTTAAAAATTTAGTTATATACTTTATTTCTTAGTTGTCATGTGTTTCATTTATTATTTGAACTCATAGAAAACAGATGTTTGTTTCTCATAAAATCTCTCTAGATGAATATTGGCAGAATCATCCAGAACTACATGACATTCCAATATACTATGCGTCATCTTTGGCCAAGAAGTGTATGGCAGTGTACCAGACATACGTAAATGCAATGAATGACAAAATTCGCAAACAGATCAACATCAATAATCCTTTTGTTTTCAAACACATTAGTAACCTAAAGGTGAGTGTGGAAGAAAGAAAGAAAAGGTTGAATAAAACACACATTAGGTGTTAGTAGGAAGAGGTACCCATAATTTATTCTGTGGCTGAATCCCTCTTGCTGAAGTCTTACCTCTTCTCTAGCAGGCATCGTTTTTCTTTAAGAATCAAAACTCCAACAACTGGCATTCTTATTTTTGCCTAAATAAATTTTGCCACTTGCTCCAAGTCTCCATATGTTCTCAATGTTTATAATTGCTAAATAACTTGGATCTCTTTTTCCAAAGGTTAAAAAGTCCTCTGACAAGAAAAATATCTGTGTTATGTATTAAGTTTCTCTGTTCTCAGTCAAACCTAATCATCTTTTTGATTAGCACTATAAATTCCATATATGAAAATTTTCATGTTGACTTTTCTAGAGCATTCAATGACATATAGTTTGATTTAATGTAAAGTATATTGTTTTATTCAAACTGATGGTTTTAATCATAATAAAATAATTTAAGTCATAAGTGGTCTTCCTGTTATAAATAGGCTTTGTTTGTAAAGCATATTTTTCCAGTCAATTGCTTAAGAATTAGAGCCAAGGCCGGGCATGGTGGCTCACGCCTATAATCCTAGCACTCTGGGAGGCAAAGGCAGGCGGATTGCTCGAGGTCAGGAGTTCTAAACCAGCCTGAGCAAGAGCGAGAACCCCGTCTCTACTATAAATAGAAAAAAATTGATTGGCCAACTAATATATGTAGAAAAAATTAGCCAGGCATGGTGGCTCATGCCTGTAGTCCCAGCTACTCGGGAGGCTGAGGCAGTAGGATTGCTTGAGCCCAGGAGTTTGAGGTTGCTGTGAGCTAGGCTGACGCCACAGCACTCACTCTAGCCTGGGCAACAAAGTGAGACCCTGTGTCAAAAAAAAAAAAAAAAAAAAGAATTAGAGCCAAATTCTCCCTAAAACAGTGATAAACCCTTTGATTAGATTTCCAGGCCAGCTCAAAATATTCATGAAGTATGCAAAGCCAATTTGAGTCTTTAGGAATATTCTTTCAATGTTCTATCTTGGGTGGGTAGAAACCCATTTGACTCTTCCTTTTACTTTTCTGCCTACCTGATAGGCCCAGAGAATGATCTAATGGTCCTAATAGCCCCGTAACTACCAGTAGAAGATTTTGAAAATCAGTATGAGCTTATCCCTTATCACTTTGGTTTTCTATCATTCCTAGCCTAAAGTATTTAGGAACTTGGACTTAAAATGTTTTCTAGTCTTATCAAAGCTCTTTTAGTAGTGTGATTAATACTTTGCCTACCTTTTTGTTATTCTTTACAAATAAAGAATGCTTTGTCAGACTCTGGTGTTAACATGCTTTTACTATTTGTTTTTCTCTCTTAGAGTATGGATCATTTTGATGACATTGGTCCCAGTGTTGTAATGGCCTCTCCAGGCATGATGCAAAGTGGCTTATCCAGAGAGTTATTTGAAAGCTGGTGTACTGATAAGAGGAATGGCGTCATTATAGCAGGATACTGTGTAGAAGGGACACTTGCCAAGGTCAGTTATAGTCTCAGGTTATTATGTTATTCCTAATCAAAATTACAGAGGTGACAGTATCCTCACAAGTTCTTCCATTGAAGTAGTTCTTTAAGTATTATAAGTTTTGATTTTTAAAAATGAGGTTGGAAATAGGTAGCTAGAGATTTTCATAGGTTGAGGAATTATGCAAATGCTGAATGGCCTAACAAGATTCCCCAGGCACACATTAAAGTTTGAGAAGAGCTCATTTGGTTGCTAATAAAGAAAATGAATAGGAACCTATTTGAGACAAACACATGAATACCTTCATCTGATGAAGAAGAGATTTACAAATATGTATTCTCTTAAAAAGCTATAGAATGTGTTTGGATTGACTACCTAATTTCCTATTGGTATGAAAATGGTTGATGTTAGCTATTAGGGATGTAGATATTGCAGAAAATATATGCAAAGCTTTAAAGGCAATTTCTGAACATCTAAGCATCACATTCTCATCCTCTTACCATTAACATCTATTTTATTTTTAAAAATGATTCCTCATTTTGATCATTGTCATTACTTTACCTTATTCTATAAAGTCCTTTAGTGACAATACCTGCCATGTATTTAAAATGGATTTCCAGAATAGAAACATATCTGTCCTTTATACAGATCCTTCTATCTGGGAAATGACTTTCTAGATCAGGAGAATAGTTGGGGATACAGGTTTGTCTTTCTAAGCATAAGAGTCATAATTTTCATTTCTAGCACTCCAAATACATTGAGTTTTAGTTAATCTGCTTACTTTCTTTATTAAATGTTTGCTTTATCAAATATTTACTATTTTTAAGTCAATGTTAGTGTTAGAATGTCAGTGTTAGAATGATTTTTGTGCTAAAGGTCTTCAACTTAACATAAGAGTTTATGACTACATGAAAAAAAAGAAAATGTATCTTTTATTTTCTAATTGGATAGTTTATTTGTTTTGCTTTGTTATTTTTCTTTATTTTTAACAGCATATCATGTCTGAACCTGAAGAAATCACTACCATGTCTGGACAGAAGTTACCACTGAAAATGTCTGTTGATTACATTTCTTTCTCTGCTCACACAGATTACCAGCAAACCAGTGAATTTATCCGTGCTTTGAAACCGCCTCATGTGGTTAGTCTATGAATTTGATTTATAGTATTAAAGGGAAAAAAAAACATACCCAAGAAACCATGAAGCAGCCAGGTCACAAATCAAGTATCACTTTCTGTTAATGTAGCACTTTATGAACAGAGCATTTGCATTTGCACTTGGATTTTATCTTTATAGCTCTCTTTTGAGTTAGACAAGCTACACACTTTAATTTTCTACATTTTATACTGACTCTTATTCAGACCTACCAACCCCAATTCTAGTGGTTTTTTCCATTATTTTCTGTTGCCTCTCCAATCATTTAAGAGCAAGACTTTGGAGTACAACTGCTTGTTTTGAATCCCAGCCCCCTCCCTAACTTGCTGTATAACCTTGGGCAAGTTACTTAACCTCTCTGTACTTTATTTGTAAATAGGAATAGTAATATCTCATAGGTTATTGTCAAAGGAGACAGTGTATTTCTAAAGCACTTAATATGGTGCCTGGCACATAGTAAATGCTTAATAATAACATCAAATAGGCAATGCAAGGATAATTTGGAGAAATAAGAAAGATTAGTCAGCCCGGGCACGGTGGCTCACGCCTATAATCCTAGCACTCTGGGAGGCCGAGGCAGGCGGATTGCTCGAGGTCAGGAGTTCGAGACCAGCCTGAGCAAGAGCGAGACTCTGTCTCTACTATAAATAGAAAGAAATTAATTGGCCAACTAATATATATAGAAAAAACTAGCCGGGCATGGTGGCGCATGCCTGTAGTCCCAGCTACTTGGGAGGCTGAGGCAGGAGGATCCCTTGAGCCCAGGAGTTTGAGGTTGCTGTGAGCTAGGCTGACGCCACGGCACTCACTCTAGCCTGGGCAACAAAGCGAGACTGTCTCAAAAAAAAAAAAGAAAAGAAAGATTAGTCATATAATGGTAAAAATTGAAGATTTAATAGATATGAAATACATTACATAGTTCCTTATTAGTATGACTTATTTATATTTTTTCAGTTTTATGTAATATAAAAGTAACTAATATATTTTGATGTCATTAGAAAGAGGGGTAAGCTGAAAAAATATGTATTTTTAATTAGAGAAACACTAATGAAATGTGTCTATAGAAAATAGGTGAAGTAAGTACCCTTTCTGAATGTATTAGAAAGTAACTTAGAGGAAATGACCTTTTGTTAGTTTTTTTGTTCATTGTTTTCCAAAAATATTTTTAACTGTGGTAAAATATATGTAACTAAAATTTACAGTTTTAACCATTTTTAAATGTACAATCCTATAGTATTAATTATATTCACAATGTTGTATAGCTATCACCACTAGCTATTTTCAAAACTTTTCATCACCCCAAACAGAAAGTGTACCCATTAAGCAATAACTCCCCATTCCTTCTCCCTCAGCCCCTGGTAACCTCTAATCTACTTTTTGTCTCTGAATTTGACTATTCTGGATATCTCATATAAGAGGATCATGCAATACTTATGATAATTTCAGGGTTCATCATGTTGTAGCATGTATTAGAATAGAACTTCATGCTTTTTATGGCTAAATCACATTCCATTGTCTGTTTATCACATTTTGTTTATCCATTCATCTGTGGGTAGATACTTGGGTTGTTTCACCTTTTGGCTAGTGTGAAGTGGTATCTCATCATGGTTTGATTTTCATTTCCCTAATGACTAAAGATGTCGGGCATGTTTTTATGTACTCTTTTGTTAGGTTTTGAGTCCCTTCTAGCATGGTAGTCCTCAGGAGTACTTGCGTAGGCCCTTTAACAAGCAGGTTCTTAGCAGAGAAAATCACTCACCTATTCCTAGCATGGTAGCATATAGAGTTTAGTTACAGTGTAGGCTCCTCCCTGATGTTTTATGGTATATGTGGTTTATGGACATTTTCCCAGATTTTCAAGGCAGGGAGGAAAAGTATTGCTCTTTCTAAATTGTGTCACCACCTCATCCTCTGTCCGTTTTCATCTCATTGCTCTCCAGGTTCTATTTCTGCTGACAGTTAAGTTCCTGGGTTGAACTTGCTATTTACTTTCCTGTAATAACCAGCTTTAGCAAAAGTGTATTTACCTGATAAAATTATATTAGGAGTATTGCTGGTAGTAATTAATAATAGCTAGCATTTATTATTTGTCATGTTCCAGGCACTGTACTTGTGTTTTATATTAATCAACTTGCTTAATCTTCACAGCCAACAGCTATTTTATAGATGAGAAAACTGAAGTGTTAAGTATACTTGGTCAAGGTTACACAGCTAGTAAGTGGCATTGACAGGATTGGTGTTCTGTCAACACAGATTAGCAGAACAATTTGTGTTCTACAGGCAGCCAGGCCTGGGCTCTTCACCACTAAGCTCTTAATGAGATACATGAATTTTTCTGTGTTTCAGTGCTTCCATGTTCACATTGGTAAAGGGCTAGACCAGGTGACTTATGTAGTGTCTTCTAGATTTAAATGCATATGACTCTTCTATAAAACTATTGCTATACCTACTACCTCAGAAAATAACCATAGTTTTCTTTAGTTTCTTAATAGAACTTTCAAAAGAAGCTTTTTGTGAAGAAAAAAAGTGACTTCTGATATATCCTTCTGTTTACTAAAGCAATACTATAAAATATTTCAGAACCAAAGATTGGATTAGAAAATTTCTTTGCTCTCTGTGAAAATAGTTCCCCATAAGGATCTTTTAAAGCCAAACAGAATGAATGTCTATACAAGTTTGGTTGGCTGAAGTTCCTTAAAAGTAGTAAAGTTTTGTAACTTTACTATGTTATGTCTCTGTTTACTATAATGTCTCTATTTCATGTGTTTAACTCAGATAAAGATCATGATTAATCTGAATGAAGGATGTTTCCTTATGCTCTTTTAAAATTTATTCTGTATAGATTTTAGTCCATGGAGAACAGAATGAAATGGCCAGATTAAAAGCAGCACTGATTCGAGAATATGAAGATAATGATGAAGTTCACATAGAGGTTCATAATCCTCGGAATACAGAAGCAGTCACCTTAAACTTCAGAGGAGAAAAACTAGCCAAGGTAAAAGGTTATGGTTCTTATCTGTCCTATCCGTGTTTTTTCTTTAGGAAAGAGTATACTTTTTAAGAACATAGACCTCCTTTAATCAAATTGAGGGAATGTACTTATTTCTGTCTACTTAGTATACTGGAAGCATTTTATCCTTATGCTTTTGAAGCTTCTTTTGGTTCCACTAATTTGTTTCTTAGGATTGAAAATTTTCAGATAGATTAGATCTTGATGCATTGGAATCTGATAGATCTTTAATTCACATATTCAGTTATTTTTCCTTCCACATTTGTCTGAGAGTAAACAAATGTTAATTACTGTGTTTTTACTATATCCAATACAGTGCTGTGTCCATCTCTCATCATTCCTGCTAAGAATCTAAAGATAGGCCTATATCTCTAAGCATTTGTTTGAGTGGGTATGATGAATATATAAAAAAATTATAGGGGCCCCATGGTGTAATGGTCAGCACTCTGGACTCTGAATATATAAAAAAATTATCTTTTTAAGGATTCATCATTTTTGGCCAGGTGCATGGCTCATTCCTATAACCCAGCACTTCGGGAGGGCAAGGTGGGAGGATCACTTGAGGCCAGGAGTTTGAGACCAGCCTGAGCCACATGGCAAGACCCTATCACTACAAAAAATAAGAAAAATTAGCCGTATGTATTGGTACACACGTTTAGTCCCAGCTGCCTGGGAGGCTGAGATATGAGGATTGCTTGAGTCTAGGAGTTCAAGACTATAGTTAGCTATCATCATGCCACTGTATTCTAGTCTAGGTGTCAGAATGATACTGTGTCTCAAAAAAAAAAAACCAAAAAAACACTAATCATTTTTGATGGTGAAATATATTGAAACAATTAAGAAAAATTTTACCTGGGATTTTAGAGCAATGCCATAAGAGGTCTGCATTTTTACTACTGTTGATCAAAAATCTTTTTACAATATTTCTAAGGGAAACTTTTCAATGATTTATTTGAAAATTGACATATCAGACATGTTAATGACCAGTTTTACAACATTCTCTTAATATATAAGGAGCCAAACATGAAGAAGTTAATGGACAAATATCCTTTCTTGCAGTTGAATTTGAGGGAAAAAAACAAATTAGCAAAACTTAGGATGTGAGGCTTTTGTTGTCCAAGAAAAGCAAATGGTTGTATTTATTCCTAAGTCTTACTGTGCACAAAACTTTTCAGGAGCTAATGTGATGATATTTTTCTTATACCTATAGGAAAATATATTTAGTTGAGAATCTAGAACTGTATTTTCCAAATTCTGCTGGTTGAGATGTGGGGAGAAAAAAAAGTTTAGGAGAAGCTGAATTGTACTGTGCTTAGGAGCAGCTGGGTTTCTCTTTGGGGTGTTCTGTTGCCATAATATTAGTTATTTAAAATCATTAGCTTTATTAGTTGTTTTTTTCCTCAAGCCCAGCATCACTGCATTAAAATCAATTTCCTAGGAGCAAAGCACACAACCTCCCAGGCTTGAATCAGGAAGAAATAGAAAACCCTGAACAAACTAATATCAAGTAGTAAGATCGAATCAGTAATAAAAAACCTCCCAATTAAAAAAAAGCTCAAGACTAAATGTATTCATAGCTGAATTCTACCAGACCTATGTAGAAGAGCTGGTACCTATTTTACTGAAACTGTTCTATAATACCAAGCCATGAGCATGTAAGGAGAAAATAACCCTAAGAAATCATGGGAAATAGAGCTATCTCTGTTTTTATAGTTACAAGAACAAATATATCACTACCTGGTTGCTGTTTGCCCTTACTTGATTAAAGGTAAACAAGCATGAACTCCACTGTCTCTATTCCCTTGAGTTCATTTATTTGCGGTTGAGGTTGAGAGAAGTTACATTTAAGAATAGTGGGTTTCATGTTTGTAAGATTTTTGTTTTTGTTTGAATGGTTGTTACTGTGTTCTCTTCAAAATATTTCTCCCTCAGTGTACCATCTCATACATACCTATCTTGATTGCCCTTTTTATTCAAAAGTGCTGCTTCTTTTAGTGTTGGGCTGAGCACAGCCTCCCAGCTGTGTATTAGTGGTACTCACTCTCTGTGTAGAGTTTGATAGCCAGCCTGAGGGAGCACGTGCATTTCAGCCAGCATTTCCTGTACTTCCCCACTACTTGCAGCTGTTGAGAGCTTTCTTACCCTCAGCACCTACTAGGTTTACTTGGTTGTTGAACTCATTGGACTGAACTGAACCTAGCCATTCTGGCCAGATCTGCCCCTGTGACTCTTCTTTTTGATATCTTGGTAGCAATGTTACTGCTCTGGTAATAGATGTGTAAAACATTTTGTATTTTTCATAGTTAAATTCACATGTTGTTTTCAAAGCTCAAATGTCTTATGGTCATCATTATTACTAACTGCATTTTAGTGCTTGAATAACTGCATTTATAAGATTCTATTTTCTTCCATTTTTTTTGTTGTTTGTTTGTTTTTTAATAGGTTATGGGCTTTTTAGCAGACAAAAAACCAGAACAAGGCCAGCGGGTCTCAGGAATACTTGTTAAAAGAAACTTTAATTATCACATACTTTCTCCTTGTGACCTGTCCAGTAAGTATACTATTAAATATCAAATATCATCTTGACATCGAAAGAAAATCTATGAAAACTTCTCTTAACCTGGTAACCAAATTTTAAGTAACAAATGATAAAACAGGAATAGATGAGAGGTAATAATATATTAATAATTAGCTTTGTGGTGAGAAAAAAATCTTCCTTGAATTGCAAAAACATTTCAATTATTTGTAAGATTACTGTTTTTGTAGTTGGAAGCATAAGTTCACTCCTAAGTCAGGTTAACTTCTCCTGCTCACCTTAAGTCACCCTGTTTTCGACCCTTTACAACAAAGTGTTGGTTCTTTTCTTTTCTGAAGTCACTTTGGACTCCCCAGATAAGCATTTTGTTCTTTATAACCTGTAGTTTTACATCATTTGCTGGGCCTTCCAAAAGGAGTTGGGAACAAAAACTTTTATAATTTCTTTAAAAGTAAAAAATTGTTAATGGAATGCCTAAATTTTTCATTACATTGGAACTTGCATTTTTCATCCAAATAAGTAATACCAACTATAATAGCCCAAGCCTGTAGTGTATATAAATTGAAGCTAATAGAGAAAAATGAAAATTTGAGCAAAGCTAAATAGGATTACATTTAAATTTATAAATTGCTTTTTTCCCCAAAGTTTATCAGTGTATTCTTTGTGTAAATACTGTTATCAATAAGTAATTTCCCAATAAATATAGTATTATCTTCAAGTAAATACTGTAGTCAAGGTTATTTATATAGCACTAATAAATTATACGTGTTTTATGAAGAAATATGAAATAGCAGCAGTGTTGAGGTATTCACCTGTGAGATAGGTCAACTGTCAGCTTCCAGATCATCACACGTTGCTATCTTTGTTGCTTCATTCAGTAGCTAGGGCTCTTACTCTTATGCCAGGCATTAGGTGCTGGAGGACTGAAGATTTATTTATAAACAAGAATCCCAGCCGTTGAAATCATCTCTATCTATGAGGAAGGCAATGTTGGGAAGAGCTAATCACAGTATTGCTCAGTGACACACAGAAATGAATGATAAGTATGTAAGGAGAGACTGGGCCTAGAGAGTTGGGAAAAACTTTGTAAATTAGGAAGTACTTATATCAGGTGGTGAAAGATTGTTAGGAGTTGCCAAGCAAAAAAGAAGGCAGATGACAGCTGGCGTAGTGGCTCCTAGACACCTGGAATATTCAGGGAATGACAGTGCTTTCTTAAGGCTGGAGCAGAAATTAACTGGGGGTGGGGGTGGGTGGGACATAAGGAGATAAGTAGGAAAATGTGGGTAGTAATGTATTAAGGAACATCTTGTTATCTCTGAAAAACTTATTCTCATTTACCTTGCTTTTACTTTTTTTTTTATTCCTGGTATATGTTTGCAAATTGTATTTGTGGGACTAGTATTGTTTCATTAACTATATTTACTCTAATTTTCTCTTCAGATTATACTGACTTGGCCATGAGCACTGTGAAACAGACCCAAGCCATCCATATACTGGTCCCTTTAATGCTCTTTTACCAGTACAGAAATTGACAGGTATGTGTATGTATTGAAATTCTTTTAATTGTTTCTGTTTTTTAGTAAGATAATTTTATATTAAGAAAGAATGTTATTTAATTTTGGTAATTGTCTCAGAATTGTACAAATTTTATTATACACATGGTCATATTATTGCCTTGAGTAAAATTTTTGAAAATATACTCATAAATTTTTTTAGTTCCATTATACCTCTTATCCTTGATATCAGTAGTCTTTGCTCCTTCTGTTTAAAATCTATTTTAGTTGACTACCTAAAATTTTATTTATTTATTTATTTGATTAGTGAAATAACTTTCCGGTTCCATCAGTACCAGTCTATACAGGTTTTATTATAGCTAATAACCACTGTCCAAAGGCCAGTAGAGAGAATAAACCTATTCTATTTCCATATTAGACCACTTTGAGTTAGAGATTTTGTATATTAACATAATGAGGGGCAATGACTAATTAAAAAGCATGGAGACTAATAAAGCAAGATATTTTCATACTACAAATACACTTTCAATCAGTATGCTCTTTATAATTCATATAGAAAAATATGACCATAAAATAAACCAGTAGAAAGAAATTTTTTTAACCTCATAACCATGTTAGAATTATAGGTGATAACATAGAAGTTAATAAAATATATCTAAACTAATTATTGATTAAGGCCGGTGCTGTGGTTCACGCCTGTAATCCTAACACTTTGGGAGGCCGAGGCGGGAGGATCACTTGAGCTCAGGAGTTAGAGACCAGCTCTGAGCAATATCGAGACCCTGTCTCTACTAAAAATAGAAAAATTAGCCAGGTGTCCTGGTGTGCGCCTGTAGTCCCAGCCACTTGGGAGGCTGAGGCAGAAGGATTGCTTGAGCCTAGTAGTTTGAGGTTGCTTTGAGCTAGGCTTCACCACAGCATTCTAGTAGGGCAGTAGAGTGAGACTCTGTCTCAAAAAAAGAATTCTTTTTTTTTTTTTTTTTTTTTTGAGACAGAGTCTCACTTTTGTTGCCCAGGCTAGAGTGAGTGCCATGGCGTCAGCCTAGCTCACAGCAACCTCAAACTCCTGGGCTCAAGGGATCTCCTGCCTCAGCCTCCCGAGTAGCTGGGACTACAGGCATGCACCACCATGCCCGGCTAATTTTTTTGTATATATATTTTAGTTGGTCAATTAATTTCTTATTTTTAGTAGAGACGGGGTCTCGCTCAGGCTGGTTTCGAACTCCTGACCTCGAGCAATCGCCCGCCTCAGCCTCCAGAGTGCTAGGATTATAGGCGTGAGCCACCGCGCCCGGCCAAAAAAAAAATTCTTGATTAAGGGGACACTAGGAAGTAGCCAGGCTCCATGGCTCATGCCTGTAATCCCAGCTACTCAGGAGGCTGAAGCAGGAATTTCACCTTGAAGCCAGGAGTTCTAGAACAGCAGCCTGGGCAACATAGTAAGACCCTGTCTCTTGATCTTTTTTTTTTTTTTTTTTTTTTGAGACACAGTCTCACTCTGTTGCCCTAACCTCAAATTCCTGGGCTCAAGCAATCCTCCTGCCTCAGCCTTCTGAGTAGCTGGGACTACACGAATGCACTACCATGCCCGGCCAGTTTTTTATATATTTGTATTTTTAGTTGTTCTGCTAATTTCTTTCTATTTTTTTAGTGGAGACAGAGTCTTGCTCTTGCTCAGGCTGATCTCGAGCGCCTGAGTCAAAGGATCTGTCTACCTCAGTTTCCCAGAATGCTAGGATTACAGGTGTGAGCCACCATGCCGGCCTAAGACCCTGTTTCTTAAAGAAAAAAAGAAGACATAGAAAACCAGAAAAGTCTCATCTTTGACAATAGAATTTCCCTATAGATTATGACTTACGGAAGACAGAAGGGAGAAGTTACTAGTTGGCAGTAGTTGACTAGTTTCATACCAAATGTTAAGATGCTAGTGTAAGGCTAAATCTCTTGTTACGAACATGTATGTTTGAACATCATCTGAGTTTGCTGCTGATAAAATATTTAATGTCCAAGGTAAAGTCTGCCTGGTTATATGAATTTTTATAATACATGTTGAGATCTTTCAGTTGCTATAAGCAATTAACATAGAACTTAGCTGTTTAAAAATTGAGTACAAATTTTATTTATTTTTTCATTGTATAGCTGCTTTATTTCAGTTCTCTCTATAAACAAATGAATAGTTATGCCTCTGGAAGATTATCAGAAAATTATATATACCTTATTATCACTTCTTTTTTACAGGTGATGTAGAAGAATTAGAAATTCAAGAAAAACCTGCTTTGAAAGTATTCAAAAATATTACTGTAATTCAAGAACCAGGCATGGTGGTATTAGAAGTAAGATAAGATCGTTTACCTAAACAAAGCAGAAAAAAGTTTTAAAAGAGTTTATGCGCAATTCTAGAGAACATTCATTTCTTCCTAATTAGGAAAAAAACATTGTTGGAAAATATATATGTGAATAATTTTTCTTTCTAAGATCAATATTAAATATAACATAGCTGGGCATTTTCTATGTAGTTATAACAACACAGAAACTAATAATAAGTTAAGCCTTCATATTCAGTAGGTGTGATAAGTATAGGTCTCATATGAGTAAGGCTCAACTGATTTTGTGGTACTCCAGGATGTCTTTGGTTATATGAAAAGATCTTAGAATTATCAGATAAAAATTTAATTCTGTCATATTAAAACAAATTTATCATGTAGCACTCCTTAAAAGAGTGGAATTTTGAAGATTCAAGTAAATAGTAATAAAGTGACTCAAATCCAAAAAGGCTAGAAATCATCAAATTAGGTAAATGTGGTTCCTACTATAAGAATTAAATTCCTACTGGTAGAGTTTGGAAAACACATCAAAGGATCTATAGGGTTGACTTTGATAGACTGGCACCTGTTAAGTGTAAAGAAGGACTTTTAAAGTGAGTCTTGGCAGTGAATAATCCAGGAGAGCACCTTGTCTGTTTCTCTGCCTCAAGGTAGAATTCTATGTAAATTTCCAAGATATATGGTTAAGTATTTTATTTATATATGCTATTTTTTAAAACAAATAGGAAAAGATCTGTCAGCTCTGGTCCCACTATAATTCTGTGATTTAAGTCTAAATTTGATTCAAGGCTAAAAACAGCTAAAGAACGTGTCAAAAGGAGTAGTTATCTATAACATAGAGTTACATACAGTAATATATAAAATGTTAATATCAAAAAAGGGAGAAGTTATTAGAGATATTAATTTAGCTCTTGCTACTGAATACCATTAGAGAATATACTTTTGTTCCTAGAGTTAACATGTCAGAGAGGACCATAGAAAAAGTTGAAGTGCATCATGTTGCTTATAAAAGTACTCTTTGCAGAGATAATAAAACATAGGATGGCATTCATTCCTGAAATAATTCAACTGCTCTCACCCTAACCTGGAGACATGGAAAACTTTGTTGGAACACTGGACACAAGAGAGAAGATGTTAGACTTAGTGTGAGAAGCAAAAGTAAATTTTTAAAAAT